TCATTCTCCTGTGGAGGGCACACACAAATCTACTTGACTATCAATTCTACGAATGACGAACACGTGACGAAGGCCAAAGACCCAAATTAGACCTACACCTACACAGGCATAGTCGCTACTCATCACCTTCGATTAAGAGGGGAGTTGTTTTACGGGAATTCGCTTTACAACTAATTTACTGTACTTAGCTATATCATCTAGTTATTAGCAGGCTGACACACACACACACACCAGCCTTAAAACTTTCGGCTTTTAGAACTTAATATCATTCTTACTGTTAAGATATACGAGCTAAGAGTTTATAATTGATATTTTTATAGGAAATTTTTGTATAATATATAGAGAAAATTTCATGTTTCGGAATTATTTTACAAGCACTTTTATATTAAATATTAATGATTTATTCGATTCGATCGATCCGAAATAAGTTTAAAATAGAAAATTTTAAATAGAATTTTAAGGTTATAATTTGTTTATCGTAATATTATCCATTTAAATATAGAAAATTAAAATTTTTTAAGCTTAAACTTCGAACGAAACTACATGTTATTAGAGCTAGAAATTTCTTTGTCTTATCATTGGTCTGTGGAGTATATTTTAGTTCATTCAAATTCCACTTTACTCTTTAATTCTTCATTAAAATAATGTTAAATTATTAAATTATAACATTAAAAAATGAATTCGAGTTTAAAAAGATTAAATTTATATAAAATTCTTTTTAATTTTTAATCATTTTTAANTTGATTTACTTCATAGGCCTAAACAACAGTTTAAACAAATATATAAAATTTTAATAATAAAATAATTGATTTTATTAAAATTAAAAACATTTATTAGATCTTTAAACGTAGTTTATAATTAATAAATCATTATGAATTATCCCGTGATATAGGCCTAAGTTTAAATGAAATATCTTCGGATCCGGATAGGCCGATAGACCGATTTTTATTTATAATTTTATATTAATTTCTAATAGAACACAACTAGAACTTTCTATTATAAAGTTAAGAATAGTCGAGAACGATCTATATAGATTGAAATTTACTTAATTAAAAGTTTAATCCGTTGAAAAATAACTGTTTTATTATTTAATATAATAGAGAAATTATTTAAATGTATAAATAAATACTAAATTGTTTTGTATTTAACTTTATTATTTATCTCGGTCTTATATGATTTTATTTCGTCAATCTTTATTACAAGTCGGACAAGGTACTGTAGTTTACAATGAATCGAAAAAGAGTAAATTTACATAGACATAATTAAAAAAAAATTTCGAGTCCTATAGTTGATTAAGCCGCAATGCGATCCATTGTTCTAATTTTGATTATTGTAATGGAGATTCGAAACACTCCCTTTTCTTTTCGAGAGAAGTCCGGGTTTAGATCGTTTCTTTGTCTTTGAAATGGCGTCATTCTCCTGTGGAGGGCACACACAAATCTACTTGACTATCAATTCTACGAATGACGAACACGTGACGAAGGCCAAAGACCCAAATTAGACCTACACCTACACAGGCATAGTCGCTACTCATCACCTTCGATTAAGAGGGGAGTTGTTTTACGGGAATTCGCTTTACAACTAATTTACTGTACTTAGCTATATCATCTAGTTATTAGCAGGCTGACACACACACACACACCAGCCTTAAAACTTTCGGCTTTTAGAACTTAATATCATTCTTACTGTTAAGATATACGAGCTAAGAGTTTATAATTGATATTTTTATAGGAAATTTTTGTGTAATATATAGAGAAAATTTCATGTTTCGGAATTATTTTACAAGCACTTTTATATTAAATATTAATGATTTATTCGATTCGATCGATCCGAAATAAGTTTAAAATAGAAAATTTTAAATAGAATTTTAAGGTTATAATTTGTTTATCGTAATATTATCCATTTAAATATAGAAAATTAAAATTTTTTAAGCTTAAACTTCGAACGAAACTACATGTTATTAGAGCTAGAAATTTCTTTGTCTTATCATTGGTCTGTGGAGTATATTTTAGTTCATTCAAATTCCACTTTACTCTTTAATTCTTCATTAAAATAATGTTAAATTATTAAATTATAACATTAAAAAATGAATTCGAGTTTAAAAAGATTAAATTTATATAAAATTCTTTTTAATTTTTAATCATTTTTAAGATATAAAATACATTCTTTGTTATCACAGTAACAGTATAAACTTTATTAAAAACTTTAATAAAATTAAATATATTTTTGAAAATCAATTTAAAAAATATATATATATTTAAAAAAACCTTTAGAAAATAGATTTTAATTAGAAATTAGAAAATAGATTTGAATTAAGTATTAGAAATTTAAACAGATTGATACCAGAAGTAACTTATAATATGTGTAAAATGAAAATTACCTCCTGGTAATTTTCAAAATGCTAAACTATTATAATAATCAAAAGAACCAGTTCTCTATAAAATTAAATTGATAAAAAAATAAAGAATAGATGCAAAAATGTATACTATTCTGACCTGTTTAATGTTGTTTTGCTATTGTTTGGTTGTACCCACTAACCTGGAGTCATTGGCACTAACTTTCAAGGTCTTTGCTATGATTGTGCTAAATGTTAGTAATTATGTCTTCCACTAGTTTGTTGGCTTGTAAAATAAGCCAATGTAATGATTGCGATGCGTGATATATGGATTAAATAAACATAGACTGTTGATGTCACTCTCTAAAGTAGTTGGTGACGTACAATCACCTACCGTATATTAATACATCAACTTACTTAAATATTCTTAAGAACAAAAATGAAAATTCTTGTAGACCAAATAATATTTTCTACAGAAGAATTTCAAATTTTTCTTTTCTCCATCTTCTTATCGTTATTTTAAGAGGAGGAGAAGAAAAACATTCCGATTGAAAACAATTAAGTTTAATGAGTTTTTGATAACCTTACCCTATAATTTCTTACGTTAAAATATTAAATAAGATTTAAGAATAGGAATTGTCTTAAACAAAATTAGTTAAATAGAAAGATTTCTAATATGTTTGTATTAGTTGTTAAATATTACAAAAGGCCTTTATTAAGAAGGGAAATCTGAAGGCCCTGTTAAATCTCTTCACTGTAGTAAATCAGATGCGAGACTATTTGCAGGAATAAGAAAAGAGTAGATAGGCCGAGCGCAACAAAGAGAAAAGGGGAGAGCACCAATCGATGACAGTCTATCGAAGAGATCGGTTGTACTAATGGCGAGCCTTCAAAGTGATGTAGTCCCAGAAACCTGTGGGGCGGTACCAACGAGAAAGTTTAATTAAAGTTGGCAATGATCGTCTTTGTGATTCCCACGCCTGTTTCCTGTAGCGTAGAAGGATTGTATAGGAGAATCATTGTCCTTTTTCTCCCGCATCTTCTGTATGACGATTTTCTCTACTCTTCACTGCCTAGGTATTGATAAATTGAAGACAAGTGTGTAAATTGTAAGCTGTCTCTTGTTTGAAACATTTGCATTTACTTGATGTTGAAGAAGGTGTTAGATTTTAATCTAATGTTTTTTTAATGCTTTTACTTTCCAAACTATTGCATGATATTACTTTTCTCATCGCCACTATTTCTTACTTTTACATTAAGATTGTTTTTGTTAAACTATACGAAATTGAGATTTTTATTATTCTAGATAAATTATTTTTATTTTGATCGTCTCATCAAGAAAAAAGAAAAGAGAGAGAGAGAGTAAAATAAAAAAAAAAAATTAGTTTCTTATCTTTTCTATTTACAGATCAGTTGAATTAATTAAGGCTAAACAATTATCATTTGCTTTTCCTTTTACTCTCATGCTCTCTCTTCTCGGAGTTAAACGGCTCTGATTTTTTTCAATGCATTCTTTCTCAGAATGCTTCACCAAACGAGACTATCTCGACATCATCCCATGTGACCGTGACATTAGATGGGAACTGGCCCTCTATATTATCTCCGTGACAAACTGCACCGGTGTTCACCCGACAAATTGACTTCCACTAGTCACATGATCTCCGAGTAGAAAATATGCAAGAGGCTTTTGATGAATATGTAAGACTCTTCAACGCTATTCATATCCTAGACCTTAACCTTAGGCTTTTTTTTTTATATATATACTTTTTCTACCCACATTTAGAAGAATTGTTTAATATATTATTTATTAAGATTTTTACAATTAAGTAAAGGTCTAATTGCATTTTCTTTTTTACTTTTTTCAGCCTTTTATATTAATTAAAGTTTAATATTTTATTCTCTCTCCCCTGCTTGGAATTTCAAGGGCTTAATAATAATAATAACGAAGAATTTTTGTCTTTTTGCTAGTAAATAATTTCTGTACTTTCGAGTAAAAATAAAAATTGTTTACTCATTGCAAAAGTGTTGCGTGTGATTACTCAAAAAAATAAATAATAATAATCCTGTAGAATACCAAAATACTTAAGATAAAGAAGGAAAACGATTCATCATTTTATATAAAAACACAAACATAGTTCTTTCATTTATCTCTATCACATGGACAACCATTTGGAGTCTTTAGAAAAAGAAAAAAAAAATTCGTCATTTGTTAGCATGTCACCTAAGTCCCAGAACTGGCGTCAAATATCCATGAATTATTACCCTAGTAGTAGCTTGGATGCGAAAAGCATGGCTAAACAGATACTACATTAGTGTCTCTAGTATCTCTATTGGATGTCCCTTGGTATCTGATGGGCGGTGCAAATCTCTTGCTCTACTACATGTATCCTACTTAGATAATATGGGAATATCATGTAGGAAATAGTCTAGCATACGCCTAATCTTGATAGCTTGTTACTACTTTATTTTTAGAGAATTTAGTTTAGAAATGACTAAAATTCCATTATTAGGAGGAACACAACTCTAAAGTCAATCTTTCTATAGTTTACTTATATAAAAAGTTAAAGATTCGTCTGTCTCTTTGTTGATTTTTTTTTAATGTAAAACTCCATAAAATAAAACTTACAAATGTTTTTTTTTTCTGAAACAAAATTTCTTTTATTTTTCTCTCTTCATTATACAAAGATTTCAAAGACGTTTCCATTTATGCGCTTGGTTTTTGTATTCTGTAATAGAAAAAAACAATATATATATATTTAAATAATTAAATATAGAACAAGTTATTTTTAATTTAACTACTAAAAATTAATTATTATTATTATTTTTTTTCTTTCTAACACATCAAATATATTGTTTTTCTGTAAGGTTCAAACCTCATTACTTATCAATAGATGGCGACACGTATCATTTAGTGTATTTTTGAAAAAATAATCGTGAAAATAAGAAAGTCTTTTAAGATATCGGAGATCCTAAACAGATACGGGATGGTCGCTAAATTATTTAAGAAATCGGTCATGTGATCGATTAGAGATAAGCAGAGATTGTCCCCACTACTTTAGATCACACTTTTTAGGTCGCAGATATACCTCACGTGTATTATTAGCGGGAAAAAAACGAGCTGTCAGAGACTATTTTTTTCCCCTCTTTTTTTTTTTTAGATGAGGTTCTCATTTTCCAATCACGAAAATTTCACTAATGTCATTCCTGGAAGAGTTGACACATAACACAAATCTTCTAACTGAATTTTCTTCCTGCAAGAGCTGGACTACCACGCCTTTCACCCCTCCTATTCTGAATTCAACGAACGCCGAAGTTACACGGTCCGCATATGTTCTCTACTAAACCTGTTCTCCCTGTCTGCCGTTACTCTCAGACATTCGCATCAATACGGCAATCACGTAGCTGCTGTTGGTTTTATGATTTCCGCCGATAGTGGATCCTTATTTATTTATTTATTTATTTTTTAACGCGTAAGAAATATTGCTGGTGACAGTTCTCCCCTACTTACTACCGGTCGTCTACGCAACACCATTGGATCTCTCTCTCTCTCTCTCTCTCTCCCTTTGCTCTTGAAGGCCTGAAGTAGTAGCCAAGAGCATCACCACTCATCAAACGAGAAGTATGAGTACCCACGTGTAAAATGGAGTTTTTAAAATGGTGCAGGGGAGGATGTATGTGTGTAACATTTATTATTTAAAAACGCGTGAGAAAAATTTCCATCTTGTTTCGTCCGAAATAAATGGATCAAAAGAGGTCCTACCCATAAAACAAATCACACATTCCTCAAAACATCTTTTTGTTATCTGTATAACTGCTAAATGGGCGGATTTACGGGGAGAATATTTTTTATTTTTTGATGTTATAATGGGAGACTCCAGGTGTACAAATCATCTTATTTCTTATCCCACCTTTACCGAATACATTAAGGAAATGGTAGTTTGTTGGCTGTAGGGAAATGAACTAGTCTACCTACATCTATCCCTTTTTTATTTATTTATTTATTTATTTTTTCAAATCTCTATCGGAACAGGTTCGACCAATGACGCTTTACTGACTTAAATTTTCGTCGTAATAATTAATTAAGATTTACGTAAAGGTCAACTAACTTATGTTAATGTAACATCACTGGTGACGTCACGTAGTAACCAGTGGTAGGCTCTAAACAAGATTTGTTTATTATGTCGACTTATGGGTGATCAATCATGTTGCCAGACAGGTTTATGGTAATGAGTGTGATTCGATGCATAACTTCAGGCATAATGGAAGAGACAAGGGAACTTCCTCTTCAACGATTTTTTTTTCTTTTTTTTCCCCCTACCCCCCTATTGATAGGTTGGAGGTCAGTAAAAGTTAAAAATTTTTCTTAAATGGAAAAAATTTTTACCATTTTCTTATTCTTTTTCTTTTTTTTTTGGTTACACTGATGGCATCAATTTCACGGAAATGCTCTGTAATCTGGGTCACGAGATGTGATCACGTGAGCGGAGATAGAATGTGCCACGCAATTTCACGTTGCAGAAATTAACACCCACAATACTGCGTGTGGACGAAATTAAGCTGGACAATCAGTCGTTACAAATTGACTCACACGAAACCAGAAACGACTCTTCACTACACGTGATGGTCGAAATGAATCTATCACGTGCCGGAAAGTGATTGACGTTTTGGGGAAACTAATAATCAGCACGTGCGGAATCGTAACTGATTTCTCGCAAGAAGTCACGATTGATATAACTGATTCATTCCTTAGCTGAGATACTCTCTACAATTGATTCTTGAGCGACGTATCGATTTAGAATCTCCAATGTGTCCGGACTCATAACAATTTCTTTTCTTTTTATTTTGTTTTTGAATGAATGGGAATGTCAACCTGTTCCAAAACTAAAATATTTACTTGTATATTCGGTGTTCAAGAAAATTATAATCAATGTGACAAATTTGGTAAAGTATTTAGGTATAAGAAGCTTTGAAATATATCTATAATTTATATAAAAATGTAATTAAAAGTATTAAAAGTATAAAATTTACAATTAAAATTCTGATTAATTTAAGTAAATTTAACATTCGAACAAAATAAATCTTAATTTAATCATAGAATAATACTAAAAATACAAATTTTAAGTGTTGAAATAAGTCTATATCTACACAAGTATGTTTTTAAACACATAATTAAGAAACTATATACGGTCAAACCTGTAAACGACGGACACTGACCGAAGCATAAACAACGGAGGTAGAGATTCGAGCGTATTACTTTAGCAATCAATAGAAAATGAAACGTATATTACTTTATAATACAATAATAATATATATATATATATAGGCCTATATATAAATTAATAAATAAGAAATTTCACGCAAGAAATGAATATAATTACTAAATGATATTAAAACATAAGTTATAAATGAATGTTTCATCATGACACGAGATGAATGCACTGTCCTTCATCGCATGTCCAAAATATCTTCATTGTACATTGTAAAGTCTCTCGTGAATGAAGAATCCCACTTTGGTCATCGAACGATTGTTATTTTGAGTGATGATGTGAGAAAGTTCCCTCACGTAGTTTACTTCCGGTTAAAGTAGGATTAATTGGTACATAGCAGAAATGATCGGGATTATTCTTAGATATGTAACTATTGTCTCAGTTTAGCCATGCGACAAAATTTGAGATGCTAGTCCTGTAATAATCATATATATAAGGCCTATATATATATATAATAATATATAGCATCCTCACACGGATCTATTTTTCTTTGTTTAAACTTAAAAAACTTTCTTTAAAAATTAAAAATTGAGAATACAAATTATCAATTGGAAGTATTATTTAAGAGAAAACGGACATTAATAAAATGGAATATATGAATTTTTTTCTATTTTTTTTTTTTTTTTATATCTGTCCGACTTGATGAACAATTTTGTTTATTTTTGTAGGGGGAAAAAATAATAAGCATTTTTTCTTTTTTTACTTTGAACATTTATCAGCACAAAAATTAGTATCACGAAAATGCTAATTAACGTTCCATATCATCTTTCCTAATAACATAAAAAACCGAAATTGTTGAAAATAGTCACGCACTTATCGTACGAAGTATGAGTAGCCACTTCATTAATGAGGACTCGTTCGATTATTTTTACAAAATACAAAAATTATTCTAATACAAAAGATTCCAATTTTACAGTTATACATATTAATATCTTCAATGGATGCTTCAGGAAAATCCTCGATGAAGCCACAAAAGATTAATGGAAGCTGCAAAGAGATTAAAGTTCTTTTAAATCCAAAGCATCCTTTAATCAAAAATAATTTATTCTCATCAGTATAGATGCTTAGAAATGGATCAAGTTGAGTAAAGAGGCGTTACTATAAGGATCGGAAGACGCCCTGTAGGTAACTAACATCCTTGAGGACAGAAGGACAAGCTGTCGTGCTGTTGTATACCTGTCACCGTCTAGAAACAGGTGTCACCTAAATGTCGACTGTGTTAGAATAAACGGATATTATTAAAAAAAAAAGAAGAAGAAAAAGAAAAGAAAATGTCACATTTATTCTTACTTCTTTGGCCCTCATAAAATGTTAAAACGGGTCATAACTATTCTTCTTCGAATTAAAACACGAAAGATTTAAAACTTGCTCATCCTGTTTTAATCAAATCTGTATTCTTTAATATAATTAGGCCTATATAATATATTAATAAAACGATTAAAATATTATTTAATACAACAATTTCATTGGTAAAGATTTTTCTAAGCGAGTCGGACATTTTGCCCATTAAATTTTTCTCATGAGTTAGGCCCACCTACGCCACGAATTTAACTGATGAGAGGTCAAGCATGTTATATCACATAGATAACGGATCTAACTTAATAATACTTTTTATGAATTTATCTTTCGTTTTTCTTGATATTATGGTTGAGATATAGGTTTTTCGCCCTCCGATGTCGACATATTATCTGTCTTTCCTCATTTAGGGCGGATAATTTATCATATGATCGAATCGGAACATCATAATGTAGGAAAATATAGAGAAACTTATTGTAATTAACTATAGTTTTTCTTACACGTTAAGAACAATGAATATTAACTATACTCAAGATTACAACTACGAGATTTACTCTAATTTTTTTTTCTCTTTCTCTCTTTCTGCTGTGTTTTTACTTCAGATTGATTAAAACTATCGGCTTTTTAGTATATAAAATACTGAATTGCAACGTTTTCAAACTATAAAAATATACTGTACTTACTGTTGTTACATTATTGAATTCAAATTTATAACACGTCACAATACTTTGCTTTGTTAACATCGGACTAATATGTCGATCTTATTCCTAGGTACGGCATATTATCGCATACACTGATACTTTTATATTAAAATAAATATGATTTGTTCAAATAATCTAACCTTATATGTAAAATTTCTACGTATATAAAAGTCAAAATACGTATGTTTGTATGTATGTTAGGTAAAGGTTTCTATGCCATTCAATTTATCCGCACGAAATTTGATACGAGTATTCTTCAATATCCTATTGTGGGGATCGCCACTTTCAACTATTCCTAAACCCCACCTTCTCTTAACTTTAGCTGGAGCTACTTTTTTGTGTTTTGCAGTTTCGTTATTGTAAATATTCGGTTCAATAAATGTACTGTACTAAGTTACTAAGACACTAAGACCATTGTTTTTATCACCCTCTCTCAACCCAACCTAACCGATCCCCTCATCA